AATAAAAAATAAACTGAAAAGATTATAAAAACCAGATGTTTGCACCATATTTACAAAATTAAAGGAGAAAAGTCACCCTTTGAACTACTTGAAAAATGTTATGAATAGTGCAGTATTTTAACTTTTATAATAATTTTTTCTATTTCTTTGCTACCAACAAGATTGCAAGCAACAATTATTAGAGTTGGAATTTACTGGAAGAGAATAGATGAAGTTTATAGAGCAAAATAACGATTGACAGACAACTTAAAAGATTGCAAATTATATGAATCGGTAAAGCAAAATGAAGGATGCGAATTCCAACGAACTGATATACGATATACAAGGAAAAAAATGATATACGAGGAAAAAAACTAAACAAATAAAAAGTTTTAGAGTACCTAGGAACAGTCTCAGTAAAAGGAGGGTACTTTTATGAATGATGAGAAATACGAGAATGAATTTTAGTAGATAGTACAAGAAAGGCAAGCTCTTTAGATCAATGCCCAATATAATATTTGAAAGAAAGAGAAGCAACATTGCGGCAATGTGATAATGGTTGGAGGTTGCCTGCAAAATCAGGTCCAACAATGTTTACAAGGCAATTTTGCCACTTGTCTAATATAGAAAAAACACCACTTTAAAATTTGTATCAGATATGCATTCCATACAAGGACAGATTTGAGATTTATAGAGATAAAAAAAAGAATGCGGAGTAAAAATGTGTCAAGCATGATAATTAGATGCAAATTTAGCAGATGCTATTTTAGCAATGGATTTGATATTTGGTTTCGAAAAAAGAAACCAAATATCAAATCCATTGCTAAAATAATTAAAAAAAAATCATAATAAAGCATTAATCCTACAAGATGAAGAGTAGATGGATGACTCATTGAGTATATAACCAGTTATAAATTTTGGAAGATCTGGATTATTGTCATAAAGATAGGATGGAAAAAGTTGTGTTTTGTCAAAATCACCGCATGTGAGCCCCATGATGAAGCTGAAGTAAAAAAGTTTTAAGTTTAAATACTCCCTTTAAAGAATTAGAGAGTGTTGGAGTTTTTAAAAGTGTCAAGACAAAAATAAATAATAGTATCATCAGCGAATAATGCCACTCTAGATGCAAAAATATTTGGAAAATTGTTAATCTAAGTTAAAAAGAGTCCAAGGATAGAACCATAAGGAAACCCTGAAGTTACAGAATATGAAGAAGAGTGCTGTCCGTTGAGGACAACTTTTATACTAATATTGGAAAGGAAGGACTTAATATTTTTAAAGATGTTACCCAACACACCATAAGGAGAAAACTTATGGAGAACACCAGCTTGCCAAATTTTATCAAAAACTTTAGATATGTCAAGAGCAACAGTCTTAACCTCATCACATCTATCTAATTCACAACAAAATCTATCGGTTATTACTGTTAGCAAATCAGTTGTAGAACGAGAAGATCAAAATCCATATTAATGATCAGAAAGTAAGTTTTGAAACTCCAGTTAAAAAACTAAGTGTTTATAAATTAAAAATTTAAAAAATCTAACTTATGATAGAAAAAAGACCAATGGGACGGTAGTTAGACTGATAATCAGATAGACGGTAGTCAGATTGTTCTCCGAATTTTTTTGATAATAGGAGTGGAAGATGCCGTTTTCCATCAGGCTGAAAAATGAGATTCTGATAAGCACTTGATAAAAAGTTTTGAAATTTTAAATGATAGCTCCGGAAAACACTTGTGCAAATATATAACAGGTATACTTTCAGTACCACAAACTGTAGAAGTGTCTAAGCAGGAAATAACTTGATATAAAAAAGCTGGAGCGAAACGAATGTCAGGCAGGGGATTAACCTGTTTGTTGGCTATATCAGGTAGAATGCAACTAGTTGAATTAAGAGATGATATTGATGAAAGCTCTAAGTAAACTATTCCACTTTGTTTTTAGTTGAAGTGACAATATCTGAACTATACAAGAAAAGTGGATTAACAAATTTATCTATATTATTGATACTGTAAAGGATTCTCTGGAAAAAACAAGAGCCTAATTTTTGAGATAAAATACAAAATTTTATGACCTGAGATTAGCGTGCTTTGGTGTTATAGAAAAATTTTTTACTAATGGTTTTTAGCAATAGTAAACAGATGTCTGTTTTCTGTGGAATTGTTTTGCTGTTAGATATGAAAGTAATGGTTTTTATTAGAAATTGCAGCAGCACAATTCAAGTAAAAACCATTGAGAAAAGTTAGGCTTAATTTGGAATTGTCGATAGGGGATAAAAAATTCCATAAAAACCTGAATCGCAGAAAATATGTAAGAAACACATTTATTAGCAGGTAGACAAATGGTTTCAACGGAACGGCTATCACAAAGAAAATCACGGAAGGAATTCTAGTCAGCTTTAAATTAGTTTTGAAAAGTAAGATGATAGGTGGATTCTGATGATGAGGAAGAATGAGATACTAATTTTAGAGAGATCAAACTGTGATAACTAAAACCTAAGAGTGAATATGGAGAAATTGAGCACTGACTAGGATTAAAAACAAGACATAACTCTTGTTCCAAGTATGTGACTATCATAATACTTACGAATTAAAGGAAGATAACCATCAACACAATGATTGCAAAATAAGAAAGCTAAACTCAAAATATTTTCAAAAAGAGCAAGTAGATTTGATGAACTTTGCAAGAGATACAATTAAACAGAAGAAAAGTTATTTCGAAGACCACGATTATGTGTGAAGAAAAGGTTTTGAGAACAGATGATGGTAATGGTTTTTTGTGTTACATAGTTTTTGGTACTTTAGTCTTTTTAATATATGTTTAAGCGCTTGTCTCAGAGCATTTAATAGTGTACTCAGTACACTATTAAATAGTTCAAGCAATTGCCTTATTACTAATAAAACCCTAAGCTGTAACAAAGAGCTCCAAATGTGGCATTGAAAATGCACACAAAAGTACAAACATGGACACAATCGATGTACAGCATGGCACTGTACTCTGATATTTTACAGCTGTTGATAGAATCAGCCTCTCTGAGAGCTACCCCAGAGTTCGGAAAACCTGACTACTAGCCGGCCTCAGAACTATAAAACTGAATTTTAGAGCTGTACCGTCATTAGAAGATAATACAATGAGTTGCCTTGGCATAAAATTAAAGAAAAAAGCAAAATCTATGCCAAGATGATCTCGCATTCAAGTCAAGATGATCTAGCATTCAACATCCTTAATTAAAAACAATCTTTTATAAATACATCTGCGCAAGCCTTATAAATGAACTACGATGAAATTGAACTTAACTAACGAATCTAGATAAAAACTAATAAAAACAAAGTGACAACCAAAATATCAATAGAAGATAATTAATTCAATAAAGTTTGCTTCACCTTAGATGTGTTGTGGTAATATAGATAGACATATCATTTTTGTATTTTTCGTCTAAAACGAAGGTTTGATGCAGACAATTAGAACAGAAAATGGACCAAAAAGAGCTAATTATAAGCGCTCATAGTGGATGGTTTGACTCCAGTAGTATAACAGATTGGTTTGAACTTTTATATTTGGCTAAATTAAAAATACTCCTAGAAAACATGTTATGGAGACAATTTGTATGTATATATAATTGTCAATTATATATATATACGTACTATCTTTACTTGAAGAACTTTACTCCACGCATTTAACACAACCATTGAATGTTTCATATTTTAGTTAAATCTAGAGTTAATGATTATATATCATCATAAAAAGCAATAGATAGTCTTTGTTGCCCTAAAAAAAAAGTATACTAATAATTAAAGTATTAGTTAATTTTAAATTTTGCCCAAGTCACTTTATTTTTTTAAAATAACACTTTACTTCGTTGACATAACTGTGCATTCAATTTCTTTTTCCATTTTGAATATAAATCAAAAAAGTCATAAAATTATTTTTATTAACTATAAAAAGTTTTATAATAGTTTTGAAATTTTAAAATAAATGCACACAAAATATGGTTCCAACATTAGGATGATAGATGCTTTTTACTGGACAATATCCGATATTTGGCGACTGCTGGATAATGTCTGATTTTCCGCACTACCAGATATGACTGATGTTTTGCAATTGCCGGGCCGTGTCTGATGTCTGCCAAATATTTCAGGCCATAATTTCATATAATTTTTTCACTACAAAAATGAAACGGATAAAAAGTTTGTATGAAACGACTTTAAAATTTTATAAAATTTTTCATAACTAGTTTTTCTCAAAGTTAAATGAAATCTTCTTTCACTATTTTTTTTTTGTTTTTGTCAACGCATATGCATGCAAAATCATAAGAAACATTTGTCTCATGACTGAGCAAGATTAAAATGTGAAAGTCTACATTTAAAAAACAAACTTATTTCTTAATTAGTAAGAATACTATAGAAAGCCATGAAGCAAATTGTTTTTCATATATTAACTTAATTTCGATTTTGTAAATAGTAAGTTAAGTAAATGTTTTAAACACACAATAAGTTGTGTATTTACAACATCATCAAAAAAAAAAATTTAATTAGCTTCGGAAAAAAAAAGTTAAACAAAAATTATTTTTCATCTTTAGATATAACAGGAAATTTTCTATAAAACCACAGTGAGTTTTCTGTTTAAAGATAGTTTTGTTAGCTTTCAGTATATATCAGTAAAAAAATAAATAAAATAAAATAACTATTTTCTCATTTTTTCTCTATTTTAATGACTTCTTATACTCCAGTTAATGCAACAGTTAAGCTAACGACACACAATAACACCTGTATTCATATCGCTTATACCATCTAATAAATACACCACAAATGAAGCATTACATGCTGCAACACAACTATGCAACACCAAATTTAAAATAACACATATATGATAATTTCATTACAATCACCAAAAAATAAACATTTCATTACAAACAAAATAATATTTTGAAATAAAAACTTCAAAACTGATATTTTAACGTTAGCTTATTTAACTGAAAATACTTACGAAGTAAAAACTCAATTAGTAGATTATTAAACTAACCTGAATAATGTGAATCAGCTGGGCTTAAACGAGGTCGTTTCGAGTCACTTTTTACACCATCTAATAATGTTAGGAATACAAACATAAAAAAAGAAAGTAAATAAAAATTAGAAAAATGAAACTATATAATAAATTATTTATAAATATCATTAACTGAGTGTTTCACAGATGTTAAGTAACTAGTAAATTATTTGCTTGTGCTACATTAACTTAATTTAAAGCTGATGTTATAATCACTGCATGTTTTAGTTCAATTAGTCTCAAAAAACACTCTTTCTAATAGCTTTTTAGTCGCATTAAACATAGGTCACTACAACAAAGCTAATAAATATTAACACAGTATTTAAATTAATTGTCATTTCTTTAGGATTAAAAAGATTCTATAATATATATTAAAAATAAATTGTATTGCTGTTCATTAAAATTTATGCTGTCGAAAACATTTGAATTGTGGAATTCGTTGACTACCTATCTGTAACAATGTTTAATAGCAGTTAATAAAATTATTTCTTTAAGCAACAAAATTACTTGCACTACCTAAAGAAGCATGGAGCAGTTGTTGTATAGAAATAATCATAACACACTCTTTAAGAGAAAGTATTAATTTACGTTTTAAAAAACTTTTTTTTCATAAGAGTCGTTTTTATATTACTTTTACTTCACAAAAAATATGCTTAATCACCTGACATAAATGTTATTTTAATATAACTTGATAAATAATACGACAGTTTATATACTAAAATTTTGATTATGTGTGCTTTTAAGTAATATATTATTTTCGTTTTTTTATAGATTAACATAATTATAGCTATTTTGAATTAATATAATATTTTACTATTCATTACAGTTAAAAGAAATAAAATTATTATTAACACAAAGAAATAAAATGAAGAAGTAATGTAAAAATTAAATCTGAAAGACTAAGAACTTATTTGAACACATATCTGAACTCCATATTGTGAGTTCACAGCAAGAGCATACAACCTTAGGTTCATAATAATAAAAAACTTTATTTGCGCAGTTACTGATTACAAAAAGAAGTTTATTCTTATTCTTATTTTTGTTTTTATTCATATTTTTATTCATATTCTTATTCTACAAAACTATATGTTTTACAATATTTCTTCGTCTGATGAGCTTGAGCAAACAACAAGAATACTGGACTTTATACAAAACCAAAAAATTAAATATTTGCCACACACTATTTATCTAGATTTAGGCAAAAAACTTGTAAATCGATAAACCAATTATTAAATGTGAACTTATCTAAAGACTTTATGTTTAATGGTGCAAATGCAGAGCAGTAAAAGTCTAAAATGGTACGTGTCATCAATATAATGACTTGCTTTTGACATCATACACAAAAAATTGTAATAGAAAAAGATATTAGACCTTTTTAGCCTATGATCAAGCAAGACCTTTAGATGTGGTTATTAAGTTTCAAAACTGTAAACTATACCAATCTTCAATAACACTGCATTTATTTAGAATATAAAATTATCCTTTTAAAATATATTTCCATTTAAGCCGTTAATTGTATCAGTAATCGTTTAGGTGCTGCAGTATAATCAAATCAGTTGTGTTTGTTCTATAGAAACATACAACTGCTTTGCACCAAACGTCCTGTAAGTAAAATTACTTGTCATAAACTCAAAAAGTTTGGTAATTTTGAAACTATTATCAATCTGTTATTTTCTTAGCAGCATTATCTAAGTATAAGAAAATTACTTCTACTCCACCATCTTAGCCTCAGCTGAATCTCATTTTCAAGTCTGTAACATTTTACTAGTATTTTACTAGTAGTGATTTTTAAAAAATAAACAAGTTTTAAAATTAATAAACTAATAACTTTACTCAGTTTAAAAGTTATTCACGAAGAGAATGTCATTGGAATGTCATCAGTTTCTATGTAAGCATAATTAGGACAATGCTGTTTAGTATTAATAACTCTTAAAAAAAACCCTCTTTAAATATGTAACTGTGTGTTCCATTAAAAATATGTACAGGCATTATTCTTCGTACATATATTTAAAAGCAGCATAAAAAGATCACTATTAAATATCAGAAACATTTACATTAAATAGAACTAAAACTATTAAAAATAAAAAGCGGTAATATTAGCTGGAATTGCATTTACTGAGACGAAATGTGTATTTTCAACTGACACAATTGATTTTTTTGGTTACCATTCATTTTATTAGTAATTATATAAGATTTTTTAGAACCTGATTGTCAGTGGCTTATTTTCTTTATTAGAGTACCTGATGATGCTAAATACTGACAACGAGTAATTAGAGTGTTCTTGTACTACGCAAATTGGATCAGAAAATATTAGGATAAAAATTAGCCTTTGAACTATTTTACCCATTTACTAATCAATCAAAAACAAAATATTGATATGTAATACTACTAAATGTAATCTTTATATCACCTAATAATTTTTAACTTTCATTGATGATCATCATCAGGTTTTTTTATTTTTATTTTGATGCCCTAAGAGGCTCCTACGGTCTGATCACAGAGCACAACGGATGAGCATTTAATGAAAGTTTATGCCTCTTTCCTAACCGATGTCGCAAAACCTGCCCTGAGGTTTGAACCATGGATTTAAGGCAATTGCGCTACCATTGCGCAACGGTTGCGGTTTTTTCAAAATCTATTATGCCTAAATTATCAAGGATAATGGATAAAGATTAAAGCGTAAAGCTATTCAAAGCAAAAATATTGAGCTTAAAGCTATTCAAACTCTAGTAAAATTAGGGTAGATTAGAGTAATATGAGCACCTTAAGCAAAAATTGAAATATTTTCAAAAATAAATATGCTAGATCCAAAATTTTTGCAAATAAACAATATTTAGGGATCTCTATACATAATCTATTTAGATATTTGAGCAATTGAAATTTTTCTTAAAAACACAGAGGTTTTAAAAAAGTAGCAAAAGTGCTTGTATTACCCTGACCCCTTGGTAATATGAGCACTTTAAATTAGCTCAAAAAAAGCATTAATTAAGTAAAAAAAGACCAACCTGCTTAATAGAACTAATTGTTGGAATATAAGGATACGTGATTAACAAAACATATCATAAAAAGATCAAATTTTAAGCTACATTTTGTTGAAACAATACTATGTTTTCCGCAAAAAAAAAAAAAAAAAAAAATTTATACATTGTTTTTTCAATTTTGTTAACTCAAACCTTTGAACAATAAAAATTAAAATTTTTTAGATTTAAGTTCAGAAAAATATTTAGTATTGTTAATATATTAAATTTTTTTACTATGTTTTGTTTTTATTCAAGAAGCAATTAAAAACCACTGCTATTTTAGGACTTTAAACTAAGCAATTTCAATGAAAAGCACTGGCTAATTTGAGCATGCTCATATTACACAAATATTCTTTAAATAAAGTCAAAAATAAATGTTTCTATGCATTATTTATCAAACAAAAATGAATTGGATTTTTAGTTAATATACTTTTCTTTATGAAAAAATTAATTTCATTATTTTAGCACTAAAATATAGCCCCACAGAATAATTCACGCGTGATGTTTTTTTTTAACAAAACACAAAAATTTAATAGCTTTTTAATTAGATGATATCCGCTAATTACTGCGTATAAATTTACGCTAATTGTACTGATTCCTGATATCACCACATAAAGTCGATTCGAAAAACATAAAGCAACTTTAACTTTACTGCTCACATCTAATAAATCTTTAAGTATGCTCATATTACCAAGGTGCTTATATTACCCTAATCTTCCCTAGTATTAAATTAGTTTTTATACAAAATTATTATTAAAAATTTAAATTAGTTATATATATATATATATATATATATATATATATATATATATATATATATATATATATATATATATATATATATATATATATATATATATATATATATTTATATATATAAACACACGTATTATTATATCTTCACTATCATCGACATTATCATCATTATCATCATCATCATCATCATCATCATCATCATCATCATCATCATCATCATCATCATTATCATCATCATTAACATCATTGTCATTATCATCATCAATTTTGTCACAGTTAAATTATCCATTGTATACATTAAAATAAAATAACGTACCTTGAGGTCTTTTTCTATCAACCAATTGAAAGGTATGAGTCTCTTTTTTTTGTATTTTGTTATTATAAAAAATTACTTCAACTTCAAGATAAAAAATGTTTTTTTTATCGCCATGCAAACCTTTGTCTAGTTCATAAACTTTAAAGTTATCTACCTCATACACTGAGTTCAAATTTAATTTTACGCGGACCTACATGCAAAACCAATTTGAATTGTAAAGTTTTTAAGGTACAACAATTTAACAATTGAAAAATGTTTAAATTTAAAATACTGATCATAAAATAATCAGAAAAATAGAGAGAATAGTACATTTAAAAAAAAAAAAAACAATTTTTTGGCAGCAAAATGCAATATTTGAAAAAATTTATTTTAACTGTATTAAATATTTAGTTTTTAGCAACAAATATTTTTCATTTAAATAAAAGAAAAACAATGAAGTAGTTTTTCAACAAACAAAACAAGTAAAATGTAATTTAGTAATAGAAAAAAATTAAAAACACAAATAAAGTTATAAACAGGTTTGAAGTAGTAAATTATGATAAAATATGATAAACAAACACAGTTGAAAATGAAATTAATGCCAAGCAAAAAAAAGTTAAAATTAAATTACGTCACGTAAAAAAAAACCTGGCTCGACTAAACTTATTTAGGTTAACTAAGTTTATTCAAGTTGATTAAGTAAAATTTAACTCGCAAATTAACAGCTTAGAATTAAAATATTACTTCATTAAATAGTTCAATAATTTACTCAACATTTTTAAAATATTTATGTTGTTAAAAAGAGAACACAAGTTGCAAGTAAAAAAAACTATATTGGAGTAGAAAAAATATAAATTAATCAGTTTTTTTTTCGTCTGAAAAATACATGGGTTAGGGATAATGACTTAAGCCTCAATGACTTTCTAATATGCAATTTTAGAACTGTAATGCTAAAAAACAATGATTTTAATGTATCTGTGTTCTTTTAATGTTGTAAAGTAAATATCTTTAATTAACATATCATTTAAGTATACTATTATTTAAAAAATACTTGCTGAAAAATACTGAAAACAATACTTGCTGAAAAGGAGCATCAAAGTTATATTAAATTGGAAAATCACAAAAGAAAGCAAAGATAGAAATTGTTTCATATTACAAAAAACAGATCAAAAAACTTAAATTTTGCTCAATCATTACTGATGATAATGAAGACAACAAGGGCGCCATATTTTCTTCAGATGTTCTGGACAAAGATGAAAAAGATAAAAAATTTTCAATGAGCGAGAAAAAAATAATCATTGCAAATCTGCGAAAATGCTGAAAACTTTAAATAGACATCTGTTTAAAGAAACGAGTAGAGTTGCTGATAAATTGGGTATAAGTAAAAGACAAAAGCTAGTTATTTTTATAATATTCAAGTATTAGGTGTAGCAGCTTTAAATGATATTTCCCTTTCTAAAACACTAGTTTGTAGAGAAAGATCAGCGAACAGAATTAAACAATCTAAAAGAATTAAAGAAACTTGGAGTCTATCTAATTTTTTGGAAATTCATTAAGACAGAAAAATTTTCATGCGAGCTATGAAAAGGAACTTGCTGTATATGCAGAGCCATTCCCAAATTTCTAGGTACTTTCAAAATTGCCAATGTAACTAGTCAAATATAATATTGTTTGTAATAAACCTAGTTGATAACACTTAATAAAAGCATCCGTTATTGTACTTGGATGTGATAAAAAATTAGCTAACAGTGGAGCGTAATCGAGCTGAAAATCTAATTGAGAAGCATATTGGTCGTTTTCTACTCGGACTTGATTGTAGATATCATATTCCATTGCTCTTAGTAATAGCAACATCCATTTATATTTGTGTACCAAACAAATCAACAAAAATTTAGCTGTTCGAAAGGTTCAAGTAAGAACTTCATAAACTTTTCAAAAATATAAAAGAACTTACGTTGTGACACTGGCTTAATGTATGAAATATCTTTTTATTTTATTTAGCACTTGAGGAAAACAAATGGGCAATATAACGCTTTGAGAGAACAAAATTTCTATGTAAAAACTATCAAAGTCTAGAAAAGCTTATTCTATTTTTTGAAGACATATTAAAAGATCTTTATGCGTTCAGTATATCAGTTCTGATCATCATGCAAAGGGAATAAAAAATACACTTATAAAAAAATTATTCCTACTATTTCTTATTTTTGAACTTAATAAATAAAAAAGCAATATTGGTTAGTCGGAGGGCCGAGTACATTTGCCTTTTTTACGAAAAATAATTTCTTCAATCTGCTAGTACTGCTGCTGTTTCAGCTAATGACCTTCAATCCTTTTATTTAATGAGTAAACTTATATTAATTACACTTGAAAGGGAAAAAGAATCCAATAAGTTTTTTGAACAACAGCTGGGATATTTATATGAAAAACTGTTAGTCTTCCCTTTAAAAATATTCTGTTATAAATAAATTGAAATTACAATTATCAACAAAAGATATAACTATATTTTAACTACAAAAAAAAAAAAAGATAGAAACAAAATTAAAATAATATATATTTTACTGAAGCTTCTTGATAGTCACTTTGATCATGTCCGATAATCACATCTTTATGTTCTTTGGAAGCATGTTTTACTTTAATAATAATACTTTTCACAGAGCCCCTTGCCTCAGCAGATCGAAATTTAATAAAAAAAATTACATCACATTTTTCTATTCTTTTCATTGACTTCTTTTTTACTTGAACCTGAAATAAGAAACTTGAAATATATTTATATATATACATACATACATGCATGCATACATAAATATATATATATATATATATATATATATATATATATATATATATATATATATATATATATATATATATATATATATATATATAATATATATATTACATACATACATACATACATACATGCTTACATACGTACATACATACATACATACATACATACATACATACATACATTTATACAGACATGCATGCATATATATATATATATATATATATATATATATATATATATATATATATATATATATATATATATATATATATATATATATATATATATATATATATATATATATATATATATATGTATATATATATATATATAATATACATATATAAATATATATATATATATATATATATATATATATATATATATATATATATATATATATATATATATATATATATATATATATATATATATATATATATGTTTATATCTATATATGTATTTATGTATATATATATATATATATATATATATATATATATATATATATATATATATATATATATATATTATATATATATATATATATATATATATATATATATATATATATAAATATATATATATATATATATATATATATATATGTTTATATCTATATATTTATATATATATATATATATATATATATATATATATATATATATATATATATATATATATATATATATATATATATATATATATATATATATGTTTATATCTATATATTTATTTATCTTTATATATATATATATATATATATATATATATATATATATATATATATATATATATATATATATATATATATTTATATATATATATATATATATATATATATATATATATATATATATATATATATATATATATATATATATATATATATATATATATATATATATATATACATACATATATATGTATATATATATATACATATACATATATATATATATATATATATATATATATATATATATATATATATATATATATATATATATATATATGTGTATATATATATATATATATATATGTATATACATATATATATATATATATATATATATATATATATATATATATATATATATATATATATATATATATATATATATGTATATATATATATATATATATATATATATATATATATATATATATATATATATATATATATATATATATATATATAAATATATATATATATATATATTTATATATATATATATATTAAGTACTGTCATTAAAGTACATTATTGTCACGTTACTAAATTTTTAATTTTTATTAGAAATTAGATCCAAAAAGATTTTGTAAATATGTAATAATATTATTAACAAATAAAAGCTAAACATACAATTGTGTATATTTCTGACTTAATACATCTCATAAGAATAAGGCAGATGTATTTGGAAAAAACTGACTGGTTCGTCGAGTGTTGTAATTAAATAAATAAAGTTATAAGAAAACTTTTTCCTTTACTTTAATATTTACATATAATAAAGTGTTTCATAATTAAAATCATTTACAGCTTTCGGTCCAAACAGCATTCCTGTAAAAATTTGAAAAAGTTTTTTAACACTGCTGTCTTTGACTAACTAAAGTGATGTTTCGAGTTCTCTTGAAACAATGGAATAAGTGCTTAACTAAATTTTTTTTTTTTTCGTGCCAGAAAACTGTATTTATGATTAAATACCTGCCAATATTGTTTTCATTTAAAAATTAGGAAACAGTTCTATGTTAAACTTCGGTTGAAAAGTTTACGAAGTATTTGCTATTTGACGTTGCTTAACTTTGACTGGCAAAGTTAAAGAAACTTTGCGGGTGCTTTTCTGCGGCTCAAAATGTTGAAAAATCTATGAGTTCTAACCAATCTAACAAATATCGACTTGAACTAATATCGCTCTAACCAATCAACTAATATCTTGCCTTATTGCTATTATTTGCAAGGTCTGATTGGAAATTAGTTAGTGGTTTTGGTTTTGATGGTATTTTTATTTAACAAACTTCTAATATCTTATTTTGAATTTTACAACTTACTCTCAGACACTTAAATCGGAATCTTGATTTTTGCCTTCTATTTCTTATTTGTGGACTAGTATAACAAAAAGACTATTTTTATGCAACATTTTAAAGTGTTGTTTAACTTAGATAGAAGCAATGAGGTAAGCTTTACTATTCTTTATAATTGCTTTGAAGTTATGCCAGACTACAGAAACATTTGAAATGTCAGTTCTTAACATATCAGACGCCCTTGGTAATCTGATACACTGATCTTAACTGGATTTTTCAATTAGTTTTCTTTATATAATGTATTTGTGAAAGTTTTGTTATTATAGAACTATTCTTTTCTAACCACAGTATACATAGACGGGACCTTCTTCATTAACAGACGATAAATAGCGTATCAGAGTGATATATAAGAATATTTATGCGACGTAAAGTTGAAGTGGATATATCAAAGAACTTCGCGTTTATGTTATAAACCGTATGAACCAATTTTTTAAAACTCTTACTATGAAACAATCTTTTTGAAAATAATATGAGCATTTTTTATAAAAGTGAAAACATTTGGCGTGTATATAGATATATACATATCTTTTTTAAAACTTGCTATGTTTCAAATAAAACGTAAAAATAAACAATTACATACAAATAAAAAGATTTGCACATATTAGGACTACTTGAAAAAGAAAAAAGGTGTCTTTTTTCTATTTGTATTTTTATGCAAAAAATAAGGCTTTTAAGGTATTTGTAAATTTTTTATAACTACGCTAAAAAATTTACAGAAATTAATCGGCACAAGAATTCCATCGTGTGGTAATGTGGTAATGTCCAAGATTCCATCGTGTGGTAATGTGGTAATGTCAAAGAAAATTGCAGTCCAAAAATCATTATTACTTATCGAGTAAGAATCGACTAGTTGATAGTTTTTGTCCACAGAAAAAAATGAAGTATTGCAATCATTACAATAATAATTTGAGATCGCGTAATTATGCTGTTTCGGACTTCATTAAGGCAAAAAACAAAAATAATTTAGATTTTCGAAAACTTATTATAAAATATTACAAAAATGAAGTCATAATAGTAAAATAAAATGAAACAAAATACTCCAAAAAAAAACCAATTGTATATTAAATAATAATACAACTTTTTGAAGGCAATCCTTTAGAATCAAAACAAAATTTCGGAAGAGCACGCAAAACACGTCGCTTCAACTACAGAAGAGTTTTTTGCCACGTTAAAAATAGTCTTTCTGACAGTGATATGAATATCATTAAAAAACTGATTCTTTTTCTGTCTTAAAATACAGTTTGTAAACGGTTACATCTTTCAGGACTTTTGAGCTATAGCGCAGCAAATTCCATTTATTTCTGAAAAGAATTGAAAACCTATTATAAGCTTTAAATGCTTTGAATAGAGTAATGTGGAACAATGAATCAAAATACAATTTGAAAGGTTGTGTTGGCAATAAAAAGGTTTGTAATTCTCAACCTAAACGCTTAGATCCTATATAAATAAGAGGACAAATCTAGAATGGTGGCGGAAATGATGCAATGGTTTTAGTTTGTTTCTCTGGTTTTAGTGGAGTTGGACCTATAAACAAAATATAAAGCATCATTGATCAATATATTTGTTGTAATATTTTTAACAAAAAACTGAATTGTAACGCTGATAATAGTCTTTTTTATGAACCTTTTAACAAGACAACGACACCAAACACTAATCTAAACTCGTTAAAGAATGGTTTGAAACAAATTAAATTAAAGTAATAAAATGATCAACCTAATCACCTAATCTCTACACGAATAAAAATTTATGTTATGAAGTTGAATTTTCCTTAAATTAAGCTATTAAAACAACGTAAAATGAGATTACATAAGAAAAATAAATTAAACTTATAAAGCCTATGCCGAGAAAATGTTCCATGACCCTAAAAAGTAAAGGATATGCCATTATTTATCAATTTTAGTACTTTTTAGGTTAGTTATAAAAAAGTTACAAATGTTTTGTAAGACCACATTTTTGCATTATAATACCATTTTAAGCAAAGAAACACGTTTATTCTTTTTTAACTAGTCTTATTATGTACAAATCATTTTTCTTATATATAATATTACCCATTTTTTCATTTAAAACATATTTAAAAAAAAAAAAATGCCGTTATTGATAATCAAAGTAGAAAAGATTAACTGATAACAAGTTAGAGGGCAAATAAAAATTTGATAAATCCAGGAGTAAAATAGTTATAGAGTATTTATAGAGTAAAATTGGTTTGTGTCTCAAATTAAGAATGTAGTTGATGTAATTTCGAAAATCGGTTATCTATTTATAGAAGAAAACATAGACCTTCTAGTGCTTGATACCCATGATATCAAAGACAGAGAAGTGATAAATACTGTTAAGTTAATTGAAAACTTGGAAGAAAAAAATATTCAACCATTTTTTCCAAACCAGAATAAGCCAGTGTAAGTGTAAGGGAGTTTTAATCTAATAAAACAAAGCAATGTAACACATTTTAGTAACGTCAATACAAAAATAAAGTTAAAAGATCAATTGCAAATACCTGTGCTCAAAAAAAATGTAAATTGTGCTCGCAACTTGTTTCTTTCCAGATCTGAGATGACAGCCTCAATGAGTTTTTTAACTCATCATATCACACTTTTCCACCATCACATTCAAAAGACGGACTGTTAAAAATTTACTTGGTCTTACCATTTTCAACCATCTTGAAAGTTATTATCAGTTGTTGTAAGATGTTTTCCGGCAAAATAGTTTGAATATACGCAACTTGTATTTCACATCAGGGTATGACGAATTCTTGACATCGTAATGATCTTACAACAACTGATAATTACTTTCAAGATGGTTGAAAATGGTAAGACCAAGTAAATGAAACTTTAAACTTGTTTTATTTTTGGCTGAAATTCAAAAAAAATTACA